AGCTCCGACAGCGTTACAACTTGGAAGGCAGAATTTACCTTGCAAGAGGTTAGCGATGGTGGTTTGCATATAAGTATTTCCCACAGCCCGCCGGTGACAACCTGGCACGACGACGACATCGATACCATGAAAACATACTTCACGGAGAGATTCAAGGACGCGGCGGCGAACTTTGACAACTTGCTCACCGGACTGGACAACGCTCTAAAGGGCCAAGAGAAGTTTTATTTTCCGGTATGACCTGCAGTTACCTAGATACCAAAGGATATATGAATTTGATTGATACTGATAAAAAATAGTCAAGAGGAACTTTCTTCATCAAAAATCCCATCTTTGACCACAATGCGAATATCCTTTGCGAGCTCGAGTATAACGGGTACGTACGAAGAATATCATTTCTTCAAGGAGGAGACTAACGAGGTTTTAGGGATGGTACTTCGACTACACCTAATCCAACTGCTATACCAAGACCAGGGAGTATCACGGGCGATTTCAGTTCTATCTCGCCGATTGATGATACCAGCGATAAGCCAGTTTCAAAATAGTAGGGTTTTAAATTCATTTTCTCTTTGATTTTGACACATATGGAATTGGTTTTCATTAATAGCGGAATGTTATTTTCGAGTCTATATCTTCAACAAGTGAAGATCTTATATTATTTAAATATTTCAACATGCTTAGAATAATTCAATACGATAATTATGTTGAGAGTACAGTATGGTATCAACTTCAGAGAGTTTTGGCCAAATCTGAATCTCCAATCAGAATTATATTATCTTTAAAATTGCTTGATTTGTACTAGTTTCAAATAATATTAAAAGGATTTTAAGGTCAGACACACTGTCAGGAATATTGTTGTGTGTAGCCTCGGCAGAAAGAATTCTGGTATTACCGAGGTACTATACTCGGGTCCGTAGCGTAGCATGGCGGAACTGTAGTGGCCCATATAGGCACATCTCCCCTCTGGCATTGAAAAAGGCCAGAGATTAGTTATTAAGCTTTAGCTATTCTACGGTCCGACCCCCCTGCCCGTGTCACGTGAGGCATTTCTATTCCAATTTGTTTGGGGTGAGATTTGGGTCACGTGTGCTTACAAATCCATTCTCACGTGAAAATCAATTGTCACGTGGAAAACTCTCACGTGCGATGGTCCGTGCAGCATATGATCGAACGAAGTGAGCCTTGGGGGTTTGGGGGCTTGCCCCCATAAAAAGTATCAAAAGCTACTCTTGTGATCATAGAAAAAATGAATACGAAACGCTGCTCAAGTTGTGCCCGCGCGCTGCCCATGACTTCTTTTCTCAAAGATGCATCGGCCGCCTCGGACACTAGAGTCTTTGCAACCTGTTTTCCCTGCCGGGAGAGGAGTACGCGTGCTGATAGGAAGAGGAAGTCTTTACCCCAATTACGTCCGGACATCCCGTCTATACCACAACCGGCTATACCTGCTGATGTATTGAATACTGAAGCTTCTTTTCCGACCCGCGTCCCGTCCATACCGCGATCTGCCACACTCCCACCTCCGTGTTGCCCCAGTTGTGCCCGCGCGTTGCCCATGACTTCTTTTCTCAAAGATGCATCGGCCGCCTCGAACAGTCGAGTCTTTGCAATCTGTTTTTCCTGCCGGGAGAAGGGTACGCGTGCTGATAGGAAGAGGAAGGCTTCACCCCAATTGGGACCGGAAACGGTAAATACAGAAGCTTCTTTTACCCCTTGGGTACCGACACCTGCCATACCTCCTGCACCTTCCCTGTCTGTACCGCAACCTGCAAACCCACTACCTCCCCCGTCTGTATCGCGACCGGCGCCACCTATGGTTTACGATGGAATGCGGGTGCAATGTAAGGCATGTCTTCATCCATAGTAAAGAATGTAAATTCGCTTTTCATGAAATTAAGAACAGATTATGGTTTAAGAACAAATATTGTTTGTTTGCTTATTTGCTTTCTTTTGGCTTGTATGCATATTCCCGCTGATTCCCTGCTATTTCCCGTTGCTGTATTACATATCTCTAGATAGGGATGTGAAGGATGATGCTGAATAAGCACACCTGGTATATATGAGAAGCCAAAGCTTCCAATTAATTAATCCATCAACATCAACATCAACACCACTCTGATAAGATATATGGGGTTTAGGTTTGGCCTTCTACAATACCAACAGACTGAGTGTAAGGTATCATATGATACGGTTTCACCAACGGAGTGATACCGACACATATCAATGTCCTCTAGTGTTACGATACCGTTTGCTGCCTCACTCATTGCGCCATTCATTAATGCAGCAAATGGGGCTGAAAGATCTTTCATAACAGCAGTATAACCCTACTCTGGTCGCACGAGCATTGGTTAAAAGTAGTGAATCTCATAAATGGCTATCGCGAGATGGAATTAAGACAAGTATAAGTATTTAAAACGCAAATTATTATCAAACATTCAAGAATTCGAGGATTCTACCAACCGTTTACTTATTACCCTCTAAAGTTTCCATCAACTCCTCATCAATCTATCCATAAGTATAACTGCTGTCAAAATCAACAATCTAAGCATTATCGGTTTCCTTATGAATAAGCACATTATGCGGCTTTCCATCTCCCCATATGACTCCAATATCATAAAGTAAATCAACCGTCTCCCGAACCTGAGCTCCCCACTTCTTTTTCCTTTCCGTTGAAGCCTCTATACCCTCATCTCCCAGCTCCGATAAATCAGACAATACTACCGAAGGAATATATTCTTCCAAAATGCTAATAATCATCCCTGTCTCTGCCAATGTGACCAGACCAAGCAATCGAGGAACTCGAATCGAATTAGCACGCTGCGATCTTGCCACTTTACGAAGACAATCGAATTCCCGTTTAATGCCTTGCCAGAAAGCATTATCACTGCTCTTGCAACACATTTCTATTCCTTCGATCAAGACTTGGGTAATATAACCCTACCCAACAAGGGTTTCCAGTACACAGATATCTTTGGATGAGTATTGAGGTAGTTCCATATCATTGACAATTTTCATGCCAAAGCGATTGTGATAGTGTACTTCCTCCGTTTCTTATGGTATCAGCTCCGCTTTTCTATTATTCGTTATGAAACGGAAGGAAAAGGTTTCTGGGTATAGAAGAGAGTGTAAATCTGAGAGCTCTGGTCCATTGGGAAGCAGGGGGGCCAATTGAGTCCAAATTGACCCCCCTGTTTCGTAAACAATGATTTTGATTTCTTCCTGAACAGTTAGAACTTCGTCTTCGTTTTCATTATCCATAGAGTCGAATTTTGAGATGAAGGGACTTTCGATTGTATCGGGGGAAGTAGGGGGAAGTAGGGATATGTGAAAACGCTTGCTATGATACATGATGATTATATAAAGGCCATCCCCACATCCACTGTTCTATTTCACGGCTTGCTAATCCTTGGGGATCATTTTCATTTAGTTGTGAATATGGAGAATCAAAGCGACAGAGCACGTGAGATTCCTTTTAAATAGAGAGGGAAGTTTGTAATGTAGGAATGGATATCGGTCGGAGGTTTATTTATGTTTTTATTTTAGCATAAGCACGTGATTGGTATAAAAAAGGGTTCACTACGGCAACCATCCAACTTTTATACCCCTATGCTAACACCAAAATTTGGAGATTTTTCAAAGTGCTTAAAAAATCGTCAAAACTTGATACCTAGTAAATAATATGCAAAAGAGCACGAATATAACCTTATTTTCTCTGGATTATAGTGTTGACATAATCAAACCTGGAGGTTGGGTGGTTGCTTATAATAGGTGTTTGTTGGTTATACGAGTGAATGTCGGTCATACGACTTTCTATAGGTTAGTTTAAAGGTACTGCGTAACGCTCTGCTGGTCACTAAAGGCAATTCTAGTCTCAGTTAATAAGTTGCAGACTCGAGACCGACATTCACTTCAACTAACCTATGGAAAGCCGCATGACCAACAAGCCGCATGACTGACACCCTGTCACACGGACCATATGATAGCTGCGGATATTTCTAGTATGTTAGGAGGCAACATCCCCAGCAGACCCCTCTCTCGTATTATATTTAGGCTATAGGAACGTCGGTCCAGAATACCGCATAAATTGTGTATACAAATGGACAGCTTTTCCCTCTGGTTTACAGGAAAAGAATTAAAGAGTCCTTACGAACCCTAAAAGATTATTAGTTGAATTATTATCCAATCAAGCCTTTATTCACCTTGTCACATCTCCAGCAATCCATCTTTTCCATCCTTTCCCAATCTTCACAATGGCAGAATGCACATACCACAATTAGATCAGACATTACAATTGTGGACACAAAACCTACAACCAAATATACTGCGACAAAGCAAAAGCCAATAGCAATAAGTTTTGCAAAAATCACAATAAAACCACAGTCCACAGAACATCAAGGAAATGCAAAACAAAAGGGTGTCAGCTCTCGAGAGTGTATAATTACTGGCAATACTACCAATACCATCAGGGACCAAATATTACAAAGGATTGTTTTTGTTCAGTTCGTGACGCTGCTGGTAACGATCAGGTGTGTTACCATGAGGTTTGCTGGACCTGTGAGTATTATCAGTAGCAATAAGCAATTCATTAAGAGATACAATTGATCAAGGTCGAATCGTATTATATTCAAGACTGTAAATTAAGGAGGGGAGAAGGTCGAGAAGACCTCTTGTTTATATACATAAAATGGTGACAGGGGGGTGGAGGACAAGACTCAACCCCTGTACGCGGTGTCCTTTACGAACCTCCAGCTCTTTTATTTAATTATTAGAGTCTGCAGAGCTAAGTTTGAGTCATTCTACATCACAATCGAATTATCTCCTCCTTTACGACGATACTGCTTCCGCTATATCTAAGTATAGTCTTCACTACTCCGAGAAGACCTTGATTACGATAGTATAACATATATAATAATGGAGATTGTGGGAAGGATATAAAACGGAACGAAACGCGAACGACGGCTACGGAGGACCCCGGTTAGATTCAACATCTACTGTCCTTCATTCGGAGATCAACTCTCCAATCAGCAAACACACCAGGAAAGCAAGAGGAAACTACAACCCTCCTTTACACCAGCAGGATGCTAGCACAAAAGAAAACGAGGGCAGCGCAGCGAGCGCTGTTCAGAAGCATTTATAACAACGAAAGGCGCAAGAGGAAGCGTGTCAACGTATCATTCTCGATTTTGCGGGATTAACAATTTCAAAATCAATATTCGCATTTGCTATAACAGAATCATTTTCGGCTTAAACCTCAAAGTATTGAGATCCTGGTCCTCGAATAAAGAAATGCTGGCAATGAATAAAAAAAGCTTTTGCTGTTTTGTAGATTATGGATCTATGTTATTCTTGTTATCGCTGTTAATCTCAATCTCGGCTGGATGCCACTGTTTGTTTCCTTGTTTTTTCCTATCATTTTCCTTCTCCTCTATCGCCTCTACTACTTCCTGTTGTTGTTAATGCTTTTGGAACTTGTCTTCTTCTTATAAATAAAATGGAGATCCATATCTGAGCATTTCTAATTTACAGTGGCTGGAAGTGTTTTGATTATATTCCCAATCAGAATACAACGGCTAAGCACAATAATGGAGATATGGGGATAAGAAAGTAGTAGTTGATAACTCCTTTTACTTATTGATTACTAGAAGCAAATCTACTTTATATCCAAAAATACTTTCTTCATTTTCTTTATCATCCATATTCAACATAGCAGGAAAAGAATAGTATATTAATACCTGGGATATGCTCTGTATGGTTTTATTGTTACTATATAGATTTATTTTGTTTTATAAAGATCGAGGGAAGAGATGGCAAGAATAAGGCTGGTCCTAGGCAGGTGAACAATCCGAGCCTTTCTGCAATAGACAGATATTATTATCCTTCTCAAACTCTTCGTTTTTGTTATTATACTATACTTCATGGCTGATAACATAAATTTGTTTATTCAGTTTAAGAATAGAAGTTGATGTAAGATTGGAAATATATGACTCGTTATCTTCGAGAATCATTGGCCTATCTGTATAAAATCAGGAGATTGTTTATTATAACAATCAAAAACTATTGTATATACCTTGAGTGCCCCAGTTGTCCTGAAGCCTTTTCATTGATATTCTCTGACACAAAAGGATCTTCTCTAACAATAAAAGGTTTTTATCTATCTTACCCAAAGTTATCCCATTCTCTCAAATTGTGTTCCCCAGAATCAAGTTCTTTGATACAATATTCTTTTATAGTGTAATATATTGTACTTCTTTGGTTATAGGAAATTCAAGGTTATTATTACTATTGCAACTAGAATCGATCTTTGTTCAGATTCTTATAAGTCAGTTACAATCATTAAAAGCCAAATCTTTCAAAATGAACATACACTTCGATCTTTTGACCTATAATCTTTATCATTATTAATAGCAACCTTATCGAAAGTGCTGATTGTTTTTGTACAGGTTTATTAGTTATTTTGCTTTTGAAGTGTGGGGTAGTTGATATATAATTATATAGAATCAGGTTGAAAATAGCTATCTTGAATATATGAAAATAATTGATTATAGAATGCTTTGTTATATTAATATAATTGGATTATAATTAAATAAAAGGAATACTAAAAGGTTTAAGTATGCTTTTTGCATTATTGTTTTTAAATATGGTTATACACTTTGTAATTTATTTGAGGTCTTATTATCCCATTACCCCTTTTTTTGACATACTTGTCATCAATAATACCTTGATATTAATAAATCCAGGTTTCCACAAAATGATCTTTTGTAGTTACAGAATAGAATTATCAATCCTACATTCTCCTTCTGGAATATATCTATCTATAATTATTACAAATACTTCCCTCCACATTATTATATATCAATCACAGTAGTATTTCTTAATCATCGGTAACACTACAAATGACTATTCCAAATTCACTTTCAGCTTTTATATAAATCAATTTGCACTGGAGAATCTTCTCTTTGTAAAAATGAGATTATGTAATAACTATAAATCTATTCTGGCGGTTATACATTTTCTTATAGAGAAACAGGATATTGTACTGATAATCCTTCCAAGCTGAGTATGAGGTCTATCAATCTGACATGGCCACAGCCCCGAATAGGACTTGTTTGTGCCGAATAAGACTTGTTCAGAGGTCATACAATCTGCCTCCTTATAGATACCCATGGCCGTCTGCGAAAAACCTATTTCTCGAACCACCAGCGTCTTATCATCGATATTCAGGAGATTGCAGTTTATAGTAAAGATTGGCTGTTCTCATTATAAATCAGCCCAAGTCCAAGGCAGATTACACATATCATGAATTCGCTATGCAGAAACTTACTATAATCCTTTCTTCAACACATAAACTATCTCTAATAATGAGATAGCAAAAGTATCCCATATTATGATAAGACATTTTTTTGATTAGCCAAATCATAATGAAAGAGATTAAGGCCAAAATGAAAGATTCTGCAACTGAAGTCACTGAAATGGTTGTGAAAGTTGCAATAATACAATAGTGAGGACAGAAAACTGGATTGCTATATTCCTTATACTTTAATCAATAGATTGCAAATAAATTGATTAACCATGATTGTAATAATCAGAAACATCGAATTTGAGATAACAAATCGAAAATTGTAATTAGTAATAATTCAATCGAATTTTTCAATTATGGCAAAGCTGATGTAAAAGGAAATATGAAATGAATCGATACAAAGGAGGCTTACGATGTATGGCGAGTTCGAATGATCAGATAAGGAAGTGTTGGAAGGGAATTGAAGAGGAGAAAAATCAAGGAGGGTAGTGTGAGTCTTATAGATGTTGAAAGCAACGGCTGGACTGTGCATGAATCTTGCCTGATGCGGCGACCACTAAACCCCGAGTGGGGGACAATACCACGATCTCTTTTATTTGTATCT